TTTTTTGTTCTGGGTCTTGATGCCTGATACCTGATCCCATCGACAACTCATGATCACACAGGCTGGTGAAGCCATTGTTTCTGAGATATCCTCCAATAGGTCTGTCTCCTGAAGGTGAGTTTTCAGCTTTCTAACTTCCCCTCAAGAATTCTTTGCTCTTCCATTATGCCACATTAAAATGACAGTTTGGGCATCTTCTAGGAACTCAAATCATGCTTCTTGGATGTGTTCCTTGAGTTTTGGGAACCAAAGGAAGTCTGGAGCGGCAAAATCAGGGTTGAAGGTAGATGGCGTAAGTTTTCCCAATGAAATTCTCACAGTACTGTGTGCTTGTGACCCTGTAAGAATGAGCAGGTACATGGTTGTGGTGGGAAAAAAATTCTATGGTGTAACTTTTCTGGCCTTTTTCTCACCAATGCAGGTTTCAGTTTTCCTGAAACTTCTTGATAATAAGTTTTCATGGTCGCCCTGCGTCCTTGGAGAAAAAAATCTATCAAGGTTACCCTTTTGGAATCTCATAAAACAGTTGCCACAACTACTGAGCCATTGCCTCTGCCTTGACTTTAACTGGCCAGCAGATTCCCTTAGAAGCCACTGTTTTGATTGGACCTTTTTTCTTTTTGGATGCAACCAAAGGAGCTTCTGGGACAAGGCAGAGACACGTTTAAACACATTTTGTTTGCAATAAGCCTTTGCATGTACGAACTGGAATCCCAGTAGCAGCACTTTTTACTTACCTTCGTATTTCTGCTAATTCCTCTGCCTTAGGAAAGACAGTAAATCATCATGGTTAAAAGCAGTAATTCTAGCATTAGGCTATTTGGGTTTGATTCCCTGCACTGTCCTATATTGATCAAGGCTTTAAACTGTGTGTGTGTGTGTGTGTGTGTGTGTGTGTGTGTGTGTTTAATGGAAAGTTCCTGGGTCTTAGAGTCGCTATGAGGAGGAAATGAATTAGTGTCTGTAAAGTGTGTAGAACAGTGTGTGGGACATGGTGGTGGCTGCATCTGTGGAGTCAGCCCTCCCAGCTCACAGCTGTGAGGCACAATGTTGTGCTTTAAATTGTGAGTAGGTGGAAATTGAACAGGGGCCATTAGATTTCCTTTCAACAGTTTATACACATTTTGTTCTTTGCCATTAGTTACAATCCCTTCAGTGTAACAACACTCTCCCCATTTCCTCCCCAGGTTCCTCGTTTCCATTCCCCCCTCTTTCCTACCCCTACTTGTGTTCTGAGCATTGGTCTTGGCAAATGCTGCCCTTGTGGGCTCATGCAGTCGATTGTGCTGAGGAGTATGTTTTTCGGTGGTGTTCTTTCACTTACGGGCTGGTCTGCATCTCAGCCTTTGCTAGGAGTGGTGGCTGCATTTCCAGGTTTGAATAGTATTTAAATTCCTTAGTCTCAGGAGTCCAACCAGTCTCTATTGAGAGGAGTGTGGTCGTTTTTTGTGATTTTGAAGTTTGTTCAGTGTTTTTCTCACTCTGTTCAGAATCATCTATTGTGATCTTGGTTAGAGGCAGCTGGGCACTATCTAGTTCTTCTGGTGTCAGGGTAGTGGAGGCTGTGATTTATGTGGCTGATTAGTACTTTGGATAATTGACTGATGTTTGGAAATGAGCCCTGGTGGTGTAGTGGTTAACACATTGGGCTGCGACCCGCATGGCCAGCAGATCATAACCACTGGCTGCTCTGAGGGAGAAAGATGAACTTTCTATGTCTGTAAACACGTATGGTCTCAGAAACCCACAGGGGTTGCTGTGGGTCAGCATGGACTCAGATCACCAAGCCTTTTTCTAGTCTGTATTGGTTTGGAAGCTTCCCTGAGATTTGTTTCGCCTCCTAGCAACATGTAAGTTTCCATTGACAGACGAGTGAGTAGTGGCTGTGCTTGAGGTTCACTGGGAATCAAATCCAGGTTTCCTGTGAGCATTGTATTACTAAACCACTCCTGGCATCTGCCTGGCACATCAGAGACAGTTTTGACTCATAGCGAGCCTGTGTAGAACAGAACAAGCCATGGCCCAGTCCTGTGCCGTGTTCACAGTCATTGCTCTGAACCCATTGTTCAAAGTCACTGTCAGTTCATGCCATTGAGAGAAAAGCTCTGGGAGAATATAAACATTA